CTGGATTGGTTTTTAAATTGTGATTTGGGTGATAGTTTACCGAGCACATCGGTCTTCCATTGAACAGCTCATGCGCGTTTTGTTTCATGACTTGGATTACAGTCCCCCAACGTTACAGTCCTCTTCCCACTTCCTCTCCATGTTCACCACTTCCCTTCGTCCTTCGTTCCTGTCTTCCTGCCTTCTGAGCTTCATCCCCGGGCAAATGCACCTTCTGGTCTCCTGTGGTCGGTGGTTCTAAGGGGTGGGCACGTCCCTGGTGTTATGGTCACCTTACAGGCCTGTCTGTCATTTGGTTGAAATTTGAGCTGGGGGTGAGCTCATTGTCTGCCTTGAAGGGTGTCTGAGGGCCACAGTCTCTATCAAATCAGCAGGACTGGTTGTTTTCATGATCTGGGGGTTTTGTTCCCCATTTTTCTCCCACCCCTAGTGTGACTCCTTTCAGAATGCTGTCATTGACCGAATGAATGCTTCATTTTCTTGGTGCTCAGCCCCTCACACGTGCCAGTCCTCCCACCACCAGTGTGGAACCAGTGTTGAGACCTGTTCACGGGGCAGGAGAGTCAGGGGGACGGCCACGGTCACTGACTGGTGAGTGGAGGAGCCGGTACTCACACCACCACCTACCCGGAGTCATTAGCCCCCACACCTGGGAGGGAGTCCAGGTGGGGGTGGCGAGCAGCCCTGGACTTGAATATTGGGTCACCTCTTAGCTGCCTCAGCCAGGTCTTCTTCTGAAAATAATTTACCTGTCTCTGTGGTGTGTTGTGAGAAAAACCTGATGTGAGCCATGACGGAACCCGGAACGAGCGCTTGTGAGGTGGCTGCCGGGCATTCAGAAAGCAGCGGGAGTTGATGGCAGTGGGACTGACAGCAGCGGCGGCAGCAGTAACAGGCGTGTTGTTGTTAGGTGCCATCGAGCCGGCTGACTCACAGCGACCTCGTACACAACAGAACGGAACGCTGCCCTGTCCTGCACCAGCCCCACGATCCTTGCTACACCTGAGCCCATAGCTGCAGCCACTGTGTCCATTCATCTCATTGAGGGTCTTCCCCTTTTCACTGACCCTCCACCTTACCAAGCATGATATGGTCCCTTCTGACAACATGACCAAAGTAGGTGAGACAATGTCTGGTCATTCTCGCTTCCAGGGAGCATTCTGGCTGCACTTCTTCCCAGAACAGACCTGTTGGTTCTTTCGGCAGTCTGTGGCACTCTCAATATTCTTTACCAGCACCACAACTCAAAAGCATCAACTCTTCTTCGGTCTTCCTTGTTCATTGTCCAGCTCTCACATGCATATGAGGCAATTGAAAATACCATAGTTTGGGTTAGGCACGCCTTAGCCTTCAAGGAGATATCTTTTCTCTTCAGCACTCAAAAAAGGTCTTTTGCAGCAGATTTTCCCAGTGCAATATGTCATCTGATGTCTTGACCATTGCTTCCATGAGTGTTGATTGTGGATCCAAGTATTATGAAATCTTTGACAACTTCAATCAGCAGGCATAATATAGTAAAACTTGAAAAAGCCTGAGACTGTATAAGGTGGAAACCTGTCAGAGAAGGAAAACTCAACTGTTTCCCACTAATGGAGAACGAGAGAGAAGTGGTCAGACGGCACCCTGTCAAGGCGGAAGGCTTGGGAGACCTGGACAAATAAGGCAGGCCCATCGAGTTCCAGCTCTCACAGGTTTCACTGTCATTGTAGCAGGAGCAGGAACAGTGGTGGTGGTGGCAGCGGTGACAGTGGTGACAGCAGCAGTATGGGTGGTGGCAGCAGTGGTGCCAACGGTACCGGCAGCAGGAGCAGTCATGGTGACGGCAGTGGTGTTAGTCGTGTGCCATCGAGTGGGTTCTGACCCCCTGGGACAGAGTACAGCTACCCTGTGGCGTTTCTGAGGCCGAAATCTTTACAGGAGCAGATGGCCAGGTGGTTTCTCCCACGGAGTGGCTGCTGGCTCAAACCGCTGACCTCTCAGTCGGCAGCGAGTGCCCTTGCCCCCCGTGAGCTCTTGTGGCAGTGTGGGTGGTGGTAACAGTGGGGGACGGCGGTGGGCTTCACTCGGGACCTGGCTCCTGTTGCACATGATGTGTCCTCGGGGAGCAGGAGGCCTCGTGGCCAACCTTGACCTGCAGGCACAGCTTCCTGTGAAGTCCGCTAAGTGGTACCCGGTCTCGTTCCTGATCCCCGGCTCTCCGTGGGGACCCAAGACTCTGGCCAAGTGAGGGGCTTTGTCGGCCGGACAGGGTGCCCGTTTGGGCCTGGCTTCCACATCCCTTCATCACTGCCACTCGCCGCTCTGCCCCTCCTGTCCTGGGAAGCCCATCCCACCCCCTTTGGCCTTCACCGCCCCCAACACGTCGGCAAAGAGCCCGCTGTGCCTTGGTTAGTGGCCTGCACGGGACTGCTCTGCTCTTCGACGGCCTTGGGTGGCTCTTCCTCGGAGATCTGCTGGGAAGCCCAGTCCTGGTGGAAAACTGTCCAAGTGGCTCGGTCTCCCGGGAGCTTCGGGGTCTCAGCTGTGGGTGCAGCCCCAGACTGGCAGCCCGCTCAGCCGATCGTTCACACCCTGCGCCTCCTCCGCTCATTGCCTTTCTTGGTCACCAGGCATCTCCTCGCCTTCTTCTCAGGTTTTTAATATAGGGCAGCATCTCGTTATCTCTATTTTCATGTTCACAAAATTCTTTTGGCACTAATTGTCTTCCCAACATTTCCTGTTTCCTTTTCCCCCAAGTGGCTCCCTTTCTCAAGGTGAGGGGTGACTGATCAGGAAATCTGAGATGGGGCAAGAGGCCAGAAAGTGAGCTGGGGGGTGGGGGACACGAGAAATTAAGTGGAGAGAAAGAAGGCCACTGGGTATCGGGGCAGACGACAAGCAAAGTGGAGCCACACAGATTGGCTGTGTGGACCCGAGCCGCAGTGGGGACCATCCACCTGTTACATGGCCAGGGGAGACACCCAAGCAGTCGTGGTGGTCTGCAGCAGGGCAGGACACGTCCCTTTGAACCAAATGAGAAGGTGGTGGAGACGTCCAAGAGTGGCAGTCAGGGCAAAGTCAGACACTGCCACAGAGGGGCACAAAGGTGGTGGACTTTGGAGCACTTGGAGTCAGGGGTGGACCAAGGTCAGCCTCTCTTCCAGCTCCTGTGCTCATATCTGGGAACAGCGCCCCCTGCTTTTCCTTGAGGAATTACCCTTTCCTTCAGTCTCAATCCACACCTCGCTCCAGGGGTGGGCTCATTTTCAGCATGGCCAGTCGGAGTCACTGTGATTGGCTCAGGAAAGACAAGTGTCCAACACTGGGCCAATAGAAACTGCCCTGGGATACTGCTGGCCTTGCTAGGAAAGAGACTCTTTCTGCTGGAATCCCATAGGGCAACCCAGATGCCAACCAAGCACTACCCTGAAAGCTGACCTCTCTGAGGGGAGCTGCCTCAGGCCTGCTGTGCTCACTCGTTTCTGTACAGGTGCCCTTGAGGTAAAAGGGTCAATCTAGAAAGACCTCCTGGAGAAGGTGTTGTTCTATCTCAGACCTCAAGGATGAGAATGAGTCAACCATGTACGGCAGAGGAAAACTGTCCCAGGCAGAGACCGGCTGAGGCTCAGAAGGAGTGGAGGGCTGGCCGGGTGTGGACAGAGACTGGCCAAGGCTCGGAAGGAGTGGAGGGCTGGCTGGGTGGTGAGTGCAGGGAGGGTGGTTCCAGGAGGGCAGGAAGAAGCTTGAGTGACCGTAAGGTCAGGCGCTGGCATTCCACGCTGGGTGCCGTGGGAGAGATGGAAGGGTTTCATGGGACGTGCTTGGCAGAATGACAGCCCCTGGAAGATGTCCACATCTTCATCCCTAGCGTCTGTGGCTGTGTGGTGGCCAAAGGATGAGGTGAAGGATCTGAGATGGGCAGTGGTCCTGGATGGCTGAGGGGGCCCACTGCACTCACAGAGGCCCTTATGTTGGAAGAGGGAGGGGAAGGGCTGGAGGAGGAGATGTGCTGAGGGGAGCGGAAGCCAGAGAGACACGTCGTGAGCAAGACCCGCCCCTGCTGCCTTGCAGGTGGAGGGGCCACAAGCCAAGGCATGTGGGCGCCTGTCGAAGCTGGTCAAGGGAAGGCAGTGGACTCCGCCTAGACCCTCCAGCAGGAACCAGCTCTGTGGTGTCTTGACTTTAAGACGCGTCTGGACTTCTAGCCTATCAAAGCTGAGAGTAATGTGTGTCTGAAACCACTGAGCGGTCAGTTTGTTTGGAAAGCCTGGTGGCTCAGATCCACTCACAGGTGTGAAAGGCCAGCGGGGCAGCCGCGCTGCACACGTAAGGTCGTCAGGAGTTGGGCTCAGTCCAGGGACAGCTTTTGTGACTGTTTATTCAGCGTGTTGGTGTTTATTCTAAGTTCCAAGTGACACTCCTCCACGCTGGGACGGCAGAGAGGCGGAGGGTGGGCCACGCTGGGACGGCAGAGAGGCGGAGGGTGGGCCACACTGGCCAGCAGACTGGCTGAGCTGAGCTGGGGCTGTGTGCACTGGACACATGCCAACATGTGCGTACATACAGGCATGTGGTGTACAGATGTGTGCATGTGTGCTTGTGTGCCTGCGCGGGTGCACATACGGGAACACGTGTACACGTGTGCATGCAATGCAGACTGGGCACGTGAACATAGGTGAACATGTGTGTGTGGTGTGTGTTCGTATGTGTGTATGTATGTTGAAGGCAGGGTGTGAGAATAGAAGGGCTGTCCCTGTTGGGGCGGGTCTGCTACGGGGTCTCTCCCTGTTCTCACCCTTGCGAATCCCAAGCAGCCTCACGGTGCCGGAAGTATAGTAACAGTAAAGCCAGTGGCATCCGGCCGAGGGCTCAGAGAGAAGGCAAAGCCACTGTGGGACCAGGAGGTCACCAGGCTGAGCCCAGCACCCGAGCAGTAAACCCAAATCCACTTCCCCGCTTGGTCCAAGGCCATCCTTCCAGGGCGACGGGACAGGAGAGGCCGTGTGCCGAGGGAGGCTTACCTGAGCGCCCGGTGGAGTCGTCAAACTCCACCTGGAAGAAGTACCCGGTGTTCCAGACATAGAGGCAGGTGGCCGCGTCGTAGGACACCCTGAGCGGCTGCAGCCGGGGGTCGTAGACACAGTCCCTCCCCTTGATGTCGATAGGAGACTGCTGGCTGCCCCTTGGTGCAGAGGAGGGGCCCTGCCACTGGGGGTGCACTGGGGACAGAGAGAAGGACATGTGACTGACACTCCCAGTGCCACCTGTCTTAGCTGCAGAAGCAGAAACCGTGGCTAAGTAAGACCCCAGGGCGCCAGTCTGAGGACAGGCCCCTTGGGTGTGCTGTCCTGGTGGGTGCTGGCCACAGAACCCTGAGCCATGAAGCTCAGGCTGAGATGCCCTGGGCCGCTGCTCTCCGGCCCTTCCCTGAGATGCGGGCACGTGCTCTGCCCATGCAGGGTTGCACCATCTCTACTGTTGTTCTTGTCCCCGACTGGGGTGCCCAGGGCTGCCCATCACTGGTGACTCCAGCCCAGGCGCAGGCGCTTCAGGGCAGGGCAGGCAGTCACACTGAGCAGCTGGAAGGCGAGCAGGGGCAGGCTTAGCCGCTGGCTAGGTGACGGTGAGAGCACTCGGGACCAGGGGCCTGGCTAACAGTCCCTAGGATTTTAGACTCATCCTCCTCGGTCTAGAAATCACATCTGAGAGACAGGGACGCCATTGGAGTGGCCTCGGAGTGTTATCTGCCAACCTGTCCCACAGACCACAAACCAGGATGGTCCCCCGTCCCTTCTGGGACGTGTCATTTCAAACTGCATTGTCTGTAATTTCGATAGTAAGATACATGAATGGAAGCCATTTCAGAAAATACAGATGAGCTTGGAGGCGAACAAGAATCCGGCCTGTGGTGGCAGGACCCTCGGCCCGGCGCTGACCCTCAGGTGTGGCTCTTCCCGGCTGGTGCCCGAATCCTCACGGCAGGATGCACATAGCTCCTGTCTTCCACAGGCTGGGACCCTCCTGTCCATTACTGCATAGGCGTCTTTTGGTAGCAATCACAGGGAGCTCGCTCCATGGGTGAACAGGGTCTGGCCCTTCCAAAGAGCCCTCCCGAGCCCGCCCGACCCACAATGACACTGCTCTTCCTCGCGCTCGCCCTCGCAGAGCCCCCCACATCCAGTCCTGGATGCTGGTGCTTCCCACGGCTGCACAGAGCTGGCTTTAAAGGCCCTGGAGGAGGCCAGCTCCTGCGACCAGGACACTCAGCTTGGCACCCCGACTCTCAGAGATGCAAGGGGTTGGAAGTGGAGAGCTTGGGTCCTGTCGGCTGAGCTGCATAAGGGCTGGAACAGTGAAGCACCTGCATTGACAGTCCCTGCCACCTGCACAGAAGGGGCCTGCTCGCCATGCAGGCAGAGATGGTGCCATGTGAACACCGCGCAGGCGTCCGCTGTTGTTAACACGCCCCTCGCGGCCCAGCCTGGTGAGAGGAAAGGAACTGCTGACTACAGCGGTTACTGCAGGGAGCGGGCGGCGGGGCTCCCTGGCCGAAGCTCGCCTTCTGTGCGGGAGCGCAGGGTTCGATTCTCAGCTGATGCACGCCAGGCACAGCCAGCACCCGCCTGTCAGCGCTGGCTCGTGTGTTCTCAGGATGTGGGACAGGTTTTGGCAGACTTCTTGGACTAAGAGCAGGAAGAAGGGGCTGGTGCTGTGCTTTTGAAAGTCCGCCAGTGCGAATGCTGAGCCTTGCCGTCCAGTCTGCAGCCAATGAAGGGGCCACTGTGCAGAGAGAGGAAGGGCTTGCCCCAGATCACAGACCGTGGAGGACACAGACCGATGGGGCTGGGACGTGGCAGTCCCTGGCACAGCTGACTGGGCGAGCTGCTTGTTACGTGAGTGTTGGCTGGCAACGCTCTGTGCTGACACCGTCCTGGAGCCCCAGTGCCAGGCTTGTTCCCACATCACTGGGCTTTAACAACAGCCACTCAGGGGGCTTGGTGGGATACTTACAGAGGGCCTCCCCCCAAACGTCTCTGCTACCCGCCACCCCGCTATACTGAGATCAGATGACCTGCCCTAGGTCAGAAGACAAAATACAAGACAGAGTTGAATCTGAATGCCCACAGGCTGGCTCACTGCCTGACTCTCACATTTTGAAAGACACCACACAATTAGACAAACATCACTGCACTACCATTCCACAGCTGGACACCAACTGCCTCTGGAAAATTCAGGGATCTACTTACAGGCCTTGTTCCTGTTCCTCTGCGTACAGGAACGCTGACAGCAGGCTCGCCCTGGCCTCATGGGACAACTCTGGAGGGTCTTCCACAAACACTTGCCCAAGAAAGAGACCCTCAAGGATTCTCGAGTTCCCCCCAACATGGTGGTCTGTAACATCCTGAGTCTGTTCCCCAGGTCCTGATAAAAAGAGGGGTGGTCTTTTCCCAGTACCTGTTCTCACGTGGATCAAGGCAACTTTTTGCAGAAAGTTGCCCAAGACTCAGAGCCCAATAGTTAAAGTTCAACTCATTCCTGTCCCAATGTCTTTGATGGAGTCAGTTTGGCTCAGAGGTGGGTGGCCTGGGACAAATGCCCTTTGCTGTGTGGTGGCTGCTTAGGTCACTGTACTCTGATCTGGTCAACAGTGGACTTCAGGCACCAGGAAGTCAGCCGAACTCAAGGGGGAGATGGCTGCAGGACCAGGAGGCTGTGAGAGGTACGTAAATTTGAGAGCAAAGTCCCTGATGCTCCAGTTTGGAGCTGTGGAGCTCTCCTGCCTCAGACAACTCAAGGTCGGGCACACAGTGTGCTGGGTACAGCCCTGGGGAATGGCGTGGTCCAAAGCACAGACGTGACAAGTAGCTGAAGCGCTGAGGTTCTGGGTGCTGTGAGTGGTTAGCACCCTCGGCTGGGAACCAACAGGTCGGAGGTTTGAGTCCCCCCAGGGGTGCCTTGGAAGGAAAGCCTAGACATCTCCTTCTGAAAAAGCCACCATTGGAAACCCAGAGCACGGCCGTGCGCCAACACCCAGGGACACCGTGGGTCAGTCCTGCTGCGGGCACTGGAAACCCAGGGCGCAGCCGTGTGCCGACACTGGGGGACGCTGTGGGTTGGTCCCGCTGGGGTGATGGGGCGGCTGAGCAGGTGACTCTGTGCTGCTGCGGCGCTGGCTCCCCCTCATGGTGACCTTCTCTGGAGAGACCAGCACGTTCCCGGCCCTGCGCCTCAGTGATCTTCACGTGCTGTTGTGTCAGTCCGGCTCACGGTGCTTTCTCTTTCTCTACCAACCACGATGCCATTGGTCATCCCTGATGGCGTGTCCAGAGTGTCAGCACCCTCACTTTAAGGGGTGTCTCCAGCTGTATTTCTTCCAGGACAGATGTGTTGTTCCTCTGGCAGCCCACGGTGTATTCACTCTTCTTTGCCAGCATCACAACTCAAAGGCATCAACTCTTCTTCGGTCTTCCTTATTCATTGTGCAGCTCTCACATGTGTATGAGGCGACTGAAAAGACCACGGCTTGGGTCAGGCGCACCTCAGATCAAAGGGACATCCTTGCTTTTTAAAATCTTTGGTTGCAGATTTGCCCAACACCACACCTCTGTCTGTTTAGAGCCCCTGAGAAACCAGGGAGTCCCCACTTAGTGCCAGTAGGTTCTGCTTGATGGCGATTCATGCTGGAGGTGGGGGTCCTGCTTGGCCTGGCGGTTCATTCTGCTGGAGGTGGGGGTCCTGGTAGGCCTGGGACACTCCCAGTTTATGCTGGTTGCCTTGGCATGAACACTAGTGGTGCCTCCTTTCATGCCCTGAAGGGGCCACATGTGGAGGGGTCACTGGCAGTCAGAACTGACTTGATGGCAGTGAGTTTGGGTTTTTTTTGGGTGCCCTCACAGTCCGTCAGGGTCCCCAGATGGTGTGTACCCTGTCCATGAGGAAATTCTATACTCGTAGGGAAAACTGACAATGAACAAAATCTTAAAAAATACCTGGGTGTTTCTCAAGCTTTGTCCACAGTAACCCCTTGCTTCCCTGTGGGTCTCTGATGGCATGGTTTGGGCAGACATTTCTGTGGATTTTCATAGATTTGAAAACCTGTTTCCTTCAACTGTGAAGCCCATGGAGCAAAGGGCACTGTCACGAGGCATGATGGCAACAGCCCCCTGTGATGCTGACCAGCAGGAAGCTGGGTGGCCTTGGATAAGGCACACTGGGTCCTGACTGGAAGGCCTGGAAACGGAGACCAGTGAGTTGAGGCAACCCGGGAGCCCGGGAGCACCATCTCCACCTCCTCACTGGGACACACTCAGCCTCTCCTTCCAGAAAGTGCAGCCAACAGCCGCTAAGAACAGAGGACACCAATGAGGACGGCCATGTTCACACATGCACAGGCATCAGTGTTTGTTCCGGTTAGAGCCCTGTGAGACACATTGGGGACCAGTACTATCTGTGCCCTCCCGACACCCAGCCGTCTCCTCTGGTAACATCACCCGATTTTCTCTGCAGAGTTGATCCTTTCCCCTTGGCAGTTCACGCGACTCAGCTTGGCCAGACCCCACTCCCTGACATGGCTCAGGCTTGGCCAATCAGAGTAAAAGTTATTGGCAGGTCACCTGAGCTGGCCAGTGAGGGTTAGCCTTGGGAATTTTGCTGGGATTATGGAGAGGCCCTCTCTGCTGAGATCCTTACAATGCTTACAATGCTAGAATACATGCTGTTGGCAGTTGCCAGGAGCCCTGTGGTCAGAGCCTGCCCTGAGGACAAAACAAACCGAGAGAGGGAATAGAGAGATGGGTGATAGATACGTCGATTGATTGATGACAAATGGACAGATAGATGGCGAGATGATAGACAGATAGACAGTAGATAACAGACAGACAGAAGTTGACATTGCTTGGGCTACATGATTCCAATAAACTGAAGTCTACTTTTGAACCTTTCAGTGAGTTAAACTCTTTTTATCACCATAATTGCTGTTGTTGTTGTTAGGTGCTGTCAAGTTGGCTCCGACTCATAGTGACAGTATGTACAACAGAATGAAACACTGCCCGGTCCTGTGCCAGCCTCACAATCTTTGCTATACTGAGCCCATCATTGTAGTAACTGTGTCAGTCCATCTCATCAAGGGCCTTCCCCTTTTTTGTTGACCCTCCACTTTACCAAGCATGATATCTTTCTCCAGGGAATGGTCCCTCCTGACAACATGACCAAAGTAGGTGAGACAGAGTCTGGCCACTCTCACCTCCAAGGAGCATTCGGCTGCACTTCTTCCAGGACAGGTTTGTTCATTCTTCTTGCAGTCTATAGTACTCTCAGTATTCTTCGCCAGCACCACAACTCAAAAGCATCAGCTCTTCTTCAGTCTTCCTTATTCATTGTCTAGCTCTTATATGCATAAGAGGTGATTGAAAATAGCATGGCTTGGGTTAGGCACACCTTAGTCTTCAAAGAGACATGTTTGCTCTCCAGCACTTTAAAAAGGTCTTTTGCAGCAGATTTGCCCATCAGATTTGACCATCTGATGTCTTGACTGCGGCTTCCAATGGTGTTGATTGTGGATCCAAGTAATAAGAAGTCTTTGCCAACTTCAATCTTTTCTCCATTTATCATGATGCTGCTTATTGGTCCAGCTGTGAGGATTTTTGCTTTCTTTATGTTCAGGTGTAATCCTATTGCAGACTGTAGTCTTTAATTTTCATCAGAAAGTGCTTCAAGTCATCTTCACTGTCAGCAAGCAAGGTTGTGTCCTCTGCATATCACAGGTTGTTAGTGAGTCTTCCTCCAATCCTGATGCTGAGTTCTGCTTCATATAGTCCAGCTTCTCAGATTATTTGCTCAGTATAATGAAGCTGGATGGAAGAGATCCATATTTGTACTATTCAAAAAAAAAAAGGTTATCCCACAGAATGTGGAAATTATTGAACAATATCATTAATATCACATGTAAGTAAAATCTTACGAAGATAATTCAAAACTGGTAGCAGCAGTATACTGACAGAGAACTTCCAGAAATGCAAGCTGGATTCAGAAGAGGATGTGGAATGAGGGATATCATAGCTGATGTTAGATGGATCTTAGCTGAAAGCAAAGAATACTGAAAGATGTTTGCTTATGTTTTGACTATGCAAAAGCATTCGATTGTATGGATCATAACAAATTGTGGATAACATTAAGATGAATGGGAATTCCAGAACACTTGATTGTACTCATGAGGAGTACATAGGTCAGGAGGCTGTCATTTGAACAGAACAAGGGGATACTGCATGGTTCAAAATCAAGAAAGGAGTGCATCAAGGTTGTATCCTTTCACCATACTTATTCAACTTGTATGCTGAGCAAATAATCTGAGAAGCTGGACTACATGAAGAAGAATGCGGCATCAGGATTGGAGGAAGACTCATTACCAACCTGTGATATGCAGGTGATACAACCTTGCTTCCTGAAAGTGAAGAGGACTTGAAGCACTTACTGATGAAGGTCAAAGACTAAAGTCTTCAGTATGGATTACACCTCAACATACAGAAAACAAAAATCCTCACAACTGGACCAATAGGCAGCATCACAACAAATGGAGAAAAGACTGAAGTTGTCAGGGATTTCATATTACTTGGATCCACAGTCAACGCCCATGGAAGCAGAAGTCAAGAAATCAGATGTCGTATTGCACTGGGCAAATCTGCTGCAAAAGACCTCTCTGAAGTGTTAAAGAGCAAAGATGTCACTTTGAAGACCAAGGTGCACCTGACCCAAGCCCTGGTTTTTTCAATCGCCTCATAAGCACGTGAGAGCTAGACAATGAGTAAATAAGGTAGGTCACGCTGCTCACGTGACCTACTGGCACATGTGCACTGTGGCCATGATGGAGGCGGAGGCGGAGGTGGAGGTGGAGGTGGGGTGGAAACCACAGCTCTTCGGAATATTTTGGCCCTCAGTCCACACGGGATTTTTGCCGCTTGCTTCTGTGACGCCGACCCCCAGCGTGCATTGGTTCTAGACGAAACTTCAGCCAAGGTTTGGATTTGCAACTCTACTTTCACCTCCTTCTGGCCGGGTGACCTTGCTGAGCAGTCTGGCTCAACCCCGTGTCCCTCTTGTACACCTCTAAACAGGAGAGGTCTCTTTTTACTCTCTAGTCTCCTTCAGTACCTTTCCCTGAGCTGACATTCTGTGGTTCCCCGGACCTGCCTGAAGGTTAACTGCAAAGTTATCACGTGGCCGCTGCTGTGGAACCCCGGAATGCTAACCGTGGAGGAAATGGTAACACACGCAGTAGGAGGGCCAGGGTCCCACAGCTGCTGGTGGCCCCCAGTCACACTTTATTGGCAGGGAAGTCGGCAGGAAGCTCTAGGTGAGGCATTTTCTCTTCCAAATGCAACTAGCAGCATCGCTGAAGAGGAAAGTCACTTCTGCTCACTGTGAAAAAGGCAGGAAGCAGAGGGGGATATAAAGGACAAGGGGGAGCAGTGGTAATCCCTGCGCACAGAGAACTGTGACTGACACGTCTAGGAGCTGTGTACAGTCCGGGCCTTCCTTCCTGTGAGTACTCCCAAGCACATATTTATGATATAAAATGCAATACACCCATAGTCCCATTATTCGTTCATATTACAATATTGAAAATATCATATATAAATATATTATTACACAAGTTACACACAAGACATCCATGTAGGATGCCCTGAGTGACACGAAGCAGTAACAGGGTCAGCTGCTAACTGGAAGGTTGGAAGGTCAAGTCTACCTGAGGTTTCTCCGAAGAAAGACTTAGCTTCCTAGAAGTCTGCTTCCAAAACTTCAGGCATGAAAAACCCCATGGAAACCTTTAACGCTTAAGGAAATGGTCCTCTGAAGTCATCCTTAAAGCAAACCCGAGTGCCGCTTCCTCACTAAACAACGTCTCTCTTGTGCACTGTCCCCTTTAAAAGGATGATTTAGAGGGGATCCAGCCGACAACAGCAGCTGCAGATGTCAGGTGAGAAACTTAGGGGCAGTGACTTTGCCTTCATGGTGGCGGATAGTCTGGGTCATGAGGAGGATCGCCCAAGGTAGAATCTGAGCAGCACGACTGAACTGTGCATGCAGAAGCTGTTGAATCGATGGCTGTTTTGCTGTGTGTATTTTCCCCAGAAAAAACTCCCGAAACCTTATGGTGAGCATTTCTACTCTGACACTCGTGGGGTCGCTAGGAGTCGGGAAGGCCTCTATTGGTACTAGTGGCGGTGATATTGTCTGTAATTGGCAATCTACTTCCGTAAAGATTTATCGCCTTGGACACCAAAGGGCGTACCTATGAGTTGGAATGGACTCTAGGGTAGTGGTGGTTTTTTTTCTTTTCCTGATTATCCACGCGTGGGCACTCAGTACTGTCTAGATACAGACACTGGGGTCCTTTGAATACTACTGATTGGGAAAAGTCCACCTGAGGCTTTGGGAACACCACAGTAAGAGGGGAAGCAGCCGGCTGGGCCTGCGGGGGCGCTCAGCGAACTACAAGTCCCAGCATACAACGGTGCCGGGACTGGACGGGGCGACCAGAGTACGGAGAGACTACAAGTACCAGCAGGCATGGTCAAGATGGAGAGACTACAAATTCCAGAATCCACTGCCCACGGCTCGCGCAGGGCACCCTGGGATGTGTAGTCGTCCCGGGCAGCTAATTCCTATTCCCTCACTCTAAAAGAGCTCGCAAACTCCTCAAACTCTCGGCTGAAGCGGCTTTTCACGGGCAAGCAGAGAGACTGAGCTAATGAGGGGGAACTAAGAAGCCCGGGAAACCACAATCTCGGGGTGGGAGAGGGACACCCGCGCATGCTCACCCGCAGCCCGAGTAGGCGATAAGGCGCGCTAGGGAACTCTTCTGGAAGGCCTCGCCCTCGGGCCCCGCCCACCACCCCCGGCGCGCCCCTGCGACTGCGCAGAGCGCTCCGGGCAGCGGGCCTCGGGGAAAGCCGCTTGGCGCCTGCGCAGAGCGGCGGCTTCTCTCGCGAGGACGGACGCCATTATCGCATCTCCCCGACAAACACCACGAGAATTCCGCAGCCCACACGGTAATTGCAGCTCCCGCAGCCGGTCGCGTCTCCGCCTCCCCCCTTCCCGCGGGGCGAGAGCGAGAGCG